GCTTACCTTTGGTATAAATTCCCATTAGAGTTGATACCAAAGACACTGCCATCAGTTGCTACTTCAATCATGGACAGAGATCCAGCAATATTCACAAAGGTGCCGGACCCAGAACAGACATTATTAGACACATCCTGCACAAGACCGAAAGAGACACAATCCAGTCAGTCGTTGTACAGTCACATCAAGAAACGTTTTTGCTTTTATCTGCTTCTGCCTTTATTTTTGATATACATTTTGGTGCACTTGAACTTGTTCTCTAGCTCTTGTATCTAACATCGTGGCATTACCCTCATGATCCAGATTTTGTCATCTGCGCTCACTCCCCAACAGCTGTACGGACCACAGCTGTAATATTTCAGCCCTCCATTAAGTTGAACCCAAGGAGAAGTGCAGGATGGCCAGTTGTTGTTAGCATCCATATTTGCGCAATATATTTGATCATTCTTATTGACACCTGCAAGGATCTGGTCACCTCCAGCATCCACCTGTTTGAGAAGCCCTGACAACACAATCAACAGGTTGGATGAAGGATTAGTTTAAATGGAAAATCAACAATAAGATGATACATTTGGCACCATGGATTTAAAACATTGACTTTAAATGAAGTTAATGTACATTAATGACAGATTAAACATGTCTTTTCTGTAATTTGTGCTTTCTGTAACTCTTTACCTGGAAACTGAACGAAGGAGCCACTCTTAAGCTTGAAGATGTTGTAAGCTGAATCCACCCCCAGCTGACCAGCAGGACCAACACTGAAGTGCTTTAGAGACGTACTGATCTTTGTGAACACATTATCAATCATGACAAACGCTTCATTATGATTGTTCACTCCAACCACTGAGCCCGACCCAGCGTCTATCTGCTTCAGGTTACCATTCATCACAGTACAGTCTAAAGCTGTGAAAACATGGTGCAAAATAATCAGTGATTGCAAATACAAAGATGTTTAAAGAAATACAATATTTATATTTTTATATAGAAAGTAAACTAGCAAATATTTTTTT